ACCCTCCCCGAGATGACAATACACATTCGGTATGTCCAGTTACAAACAGGGCATGCAGATGGAACGAAGTATGTGGGACGTCTTAAGACATGAATCTTGCTTCTTGCTGGAGCAATTAGGTTACAATTCAGCATGGAAAGTCTAAGACATATGTGGAATGGGGGTTAAATTCTGTGTCTGTCATATCCTGGCCAGGACACTTTGGTGGCATCACTTCAGTAACCAAAGGGGATAAAAGGCAGTACCCTCTTTGGGAGGATTAATGAGGTAATGCATACAAAGGCCCCAAGTCTCTGTTGTCTGCATTTCTTCCCATCCCTAACAGAGACAGAGTGATATTTAGATCTCCAAAATGATGTTGGTCTTCTGTAATCTACGTGATTACTCAGTGTTTGGAGGGAATCCTATTCTGGGGACTTCAGTGGGAGCTTTATCAGGCATGTACAAAACAGTTAAGAAACTTCCCATGTAAGGCCTTGTTATCATTCTTGAACACTGAAATATTTTATGATAGAAAGAAAGGACAATTAAACGTGCTGTTTAGAATAACTCTAAGGAAGACACAATTCCCAATACCAAGAAAGAGATTTTAGAAGACACTTATAGACTGCTCTTTGTAAAGCTTGGGAAAGAGATTAACATGCATGAGAAACTAGAAACTGACTCCCCAGATAAAGAGACAAATGTCATGTGGAGATGACAGGATGTCATTGAGACCTTCAGGGTAGGACAGTCATTCCTGGAAGATGGACGTTCAGGATGCACACGTCGGTAGCATATCTGCTGGTGTGCAGGGGAAGGAGGGCAAATTCATTCTCTCGCCTGAGAAATAGAAATTTGAGGAAGGAAACACAAGAAATCCCATTCTCTTCCTTCAAGGTTCAATTTACATCAAACATCAGCATCAGCCCAAGCCTTTCTCATTATTTTGACCAAATGGGACCCAGCAGGGGACTGGGGGCGTAGAAGCAGCATGCTTGGGATCCAGGGTGGGCAGCTTCACTCAATTTCCCAAACCTGCACAAGACCTCAAAACATAAGGTCTTGCATGGAATTAGGACTCTGCGCCATCAAATCTGGTTTCTAGACCATCCCCCTTTGAAGAGGCCTAGTAGCTCTGGAAAGATAACGCAGGTGGTCCCATACCCACCACACAGCCCCTGGGATGGGGGCTGCCCTATTCACTGAGAAGGTGTTTTGATCATTTTCTCCGGGCTCTCGTGGTGAGCACTTGACACCATTTGTATCCCTAAGAGGAGGAACTGTACATGTCAGCCAAACCTTGAGTCCCTTCCTATCCCCAGCTCGAAACTTAGTCCCCAAGTTCTAGAGATTTGACATCAGAACTTCTCTTCAGAGGATGATGACGCCACCCTCTTTGATCATAGCAAGGTTCAGGGCCTACGGTGAAGGCTGCTACCTAGTCTGCCACTGGGGATATTCATTGTGACCATAATGCTGCTATTTGAACAACCCCTTCATTTTTTTTTCAGATTAATAGTGGAGCTGCTCAAATGTAAATAGAAATTAAGGAAAGCCATGTGCTGTGGTTTTAATGTGAAATGAACACCATACACCCATCTATACAAACACTTGGTCCTTGAGACAGAGAACCTTCCTGAGTAAGCAGAACACCTAGGACAGGGCTTTGAGAAGATTTCCAGCCTGGCCCCATCTTCCATCTGTTCTCTTCTTCCTGACTGTGAGCACAACACTTCTTCTGCCATGTCTTCCCCCACCATTACGGGCCGTAGCTCCGGCCACTATAAATTGAAATAAACCCCTCCTCCCTTAAGTTATTCCTTGTCAGGTGACTTGTCACGGTAATAAGAAAAGCAATAAATAGATTGTGCCTCTGTAGGGGAAAAAATATCTATCCTCTCCTTTACAGCCAGAAGAAGCAAAACATTGCAGAGCGCAGTGGAGGGACAGAATCCGAATTCATGGGCAATAACTGTGATGGCAACCATGTGTGAAGAAAGGATCTTTGCAGATGCAGTCAGGTTAAGGGAGTCGCCATGAGCTCCTCCTGCATCACTGATGTATCATGAACTCATTGCAAAGGGAACCATACAAGAGATAGAAGAGGAAAAGTCAAAGGCAGAGTGAGAAGGCCATAGGAAGTCAGGGGCTGAGATGGAGCCCAATGCCAACATCTCAGAAGCACCTTAAAGGAGAACAGGTTTCTTTTGCCTTATTGCTCCTGGAGATGCCAGAACTACATCTCTATTACAGCACATCACACAGGGAAAGTATGGAGTATGGGCCAATCACCGCACTGGGTCAAGAAGCCGAGAGAAGATCAGAGATAGGATCAAGTATAAAACCTGAAGGCCTTCCCCTAGTGATAAACTGTGGAGCACCAGACACTGAACGAGGCGGGAAGAATCATCTATTGACACCCTCCAAGGGAGCGCAGCCCTGTGAACCTTGGGCTTCAGCCTCCAGAACCATGATACGATACAATTCTACTGTTCTAAGCCCCCAACTTACAGTCATTCCCTCGCACCATGTCTTAGTACACAAAATGTCTAGAAATGTAGACTTTAGACCTCAGTGTCTAAGACACATAAAGGACAGGGCAGCTTCAAGCCGATCCAGGATTTATTGATGAAATCCTGTCTCTCTGTCAAGTTCCTGGATGTCGTGATCTCTCACCTAGGAGCTTGAGTGGAAGAGTGATGGTGAGAAGTTATCTAAACCAAAGTCCCAGAAAACTCAGGGCTTGCCTCTTCCCTCCCCACACAGCACTGCAGCCACTTAGGGGAAGCCCAGTTTTTGGAGTGTCTGTCCGTTATGGAGTTTCCATAGTGATTTATAAAGCATTTCAAAGCACAAGCACCTGCCAGGACGGTGACAGCAGCTTGGAAACTAAGGCTGTCACATCCCAGAGTCTGTGCTGGGAAGAGGCCCCTGGCCTCGCTACTGCCCGCCCTTCATCAATGAAGAATTGGCAGGGGAAACTTGGGGGATATTTTTGTGGGCAGGATTGCTTCCTGAGACAGCCCTGTTTGCACATGAACGTATTTTATTGCACACAAATGAAATCTTTGACCTGCCAATTTATCTCTTAGTTTTATATAGCAGATGTCTAAGATTCAGTTGCCTGCACAATAGCAAAGTGCACATGATGGAAACATTAATATCTAACTCACTAAAAAATAAAAAACAACCTAGTTTGATATTGGATGTTTTTATTTGGCTGCAGAAAATTTTTGTCCCTACCTGCAAGGGCCGGGAGTGATAATGAAAGGAATAACAGTTGCAGCATCATTATCGAGCACTTACCAAGTGTGATGCACTGTGCTAAGCATCTAAGAAGTGATAATCCATTTAATCATTCCCAAAACACGACCAGATGAAAATTAAAAGGATGACCTTGTGAACTGGTTAATCAGGGCTCAGAGGTTTTGAATGACTTATCCCAGCTCATAGACTTCTGAATTGGGATTCCATGCAATTTCTGTGCCACTTGTGACAGTCACACCATGCAAGTTTCCCTAGTGAAAAGACATGGGGTTCCAAAACTAGAACACAAGGCTGCAGCTGCAGGACCTGGAGGAGGGGTAGCCACAGAGTCACACCTTCTAGGCCTTGTTACCTACTGTACACATGCTGCTTTAATAGAAGTGTGAGTTGGCCTTAGAATAAGTTGGTGTGTGTGCACTTTTGTGTGCACATATGTATGTATGTATGGCTTATGTGTATGGATATACATGTATATGTGTGTATACATGTGTGCTTACATGCATGTGTACAGTACTCATGTACTGTGAGTGCATTTATATTTATGTGGTGTATGTATATGCTATGTGTAATACATGCTGTATCTTCTCATGTGTGCATTCTTGTGTTCGTGTGTTTGTCTGTCTGAAGGTGAGAGGGGAGGTTATGGTATAAGCTGTGGTGGTCAGTTCTCCAGAACAGTAGCCTGAGATGTTCTAACTACTTAAACACTGCTCTCTGAATCAGACTAAAACAGTAGTTCTCAGTCTGGTTCATGACCCCTTTGCAGTTACGTATCAAATATCCTGTATATCAAATAGTGACACTATGATTCATAACAGTAGGAAAATTGAAGTTATAAAGTAGTAACAAAATAATGTTATGGTCAGGGGTCACCATAATATGAGGAACTGTATTAAACAGTCGCAGCCTTAGGAAGGTTGAGAGCACTGTCTAAAAAGAAAGCAGACCAATAGTGAATGCAAATCACCCTGCTACTCTTTCAGGATTTTTCTCAAGTTTCACCTGAATGTCTCCTCTGAGAGTGCTGCTATTCAGGACAAGAATAGGAAGGAACTGTGTGTTTTCATGTAAAGGTTACCTGCTCAGTAAAGGGCACAGAGCAGGGATCTGCTCAGACACAGGGAAGTGACCTGCTCAGACATAGGGAAGTGACCTGCTCAGACATAGGGACGTAACCTGCTCAGACATAGGGAAGTGACCTGCTCAGACATAGGGAAGTGACCTGCTCAGACATAGGTAAGTGACCTGCTCAGACATAGGGAAGTGACCTGCTCAGACACAGGGAAGTGACCTGCTCAGACACAGGGAAGTGACCTGCTCAGACACAGGAAAGTGACCTGCTCAGACACAGGAAAGTGACCTGCTCAGATACAGGACAGGGACCTTCTCAGTCACAAGTACAGGAACCTTCTCAGAAACAGGACAGTAACCTGCTCAGATACAGAACAGGGGCCTACCCATATATATTGAGCAGGGCCTCTCTCAAACAAAAGGGAAGAACCTGCCCAGATACAGAGCAAGGACCAAACCAAGCACAAGGTAACTTCCAGGAAAGGTGATGCTGGAGGTTTATACCTCTCACCAAACTCCTTCCTAACAGCCTGGATCAAGGAGAAGCAGGCAGCAGGCAAGGGGGGACTCCTCTGGAGGACTGTGCAAGGCAGACCTGAGGAGAGGGGTGTGCAATAGCCCGTTGTCACAAGTTGCTTCTATCCAACACATCAAAGAGCACTGACTCTTGTGTCTTACAGGATTTTGCAGACTCTGTGTCCCAGCTGGTCACACAGAAGTTCCGTGAGCTGACAGTTGGCCTGACATCTGTGTATGCCCGCCACAAAACACTGGCAGGAATCGTCATGACAAAAGGTAACTACCTTTCTTTTCCTGTGGCAATTTTTGTCTCCACAGAAAGAAATGTTAATATTAACCTGGTCCTAGGAGTCTAAGGATGTTTCCTACCACACGGAGATGAACAAAGGCAGGCAATGTGGAACACAAAGATGTCAGTGGCCACTGTTACTTTCAGAACAACCACACTTGGCAATATTGGGAGAACTTCTGATATTCTTGATTCCCGTGAATTCCATAAGATGTTTATGCATACCCTCACTTTCAAGAACGATGCTGGTGCTTGTAAAAGCTCGAGTTGGAGGCCAGGATACCACATAAGTCACTTGAAGCTGATAGCTAAGGAGGTGCTCTGCTCCTCTGTAGGCGGAGTTTTTCCTTTGTTCCAGTAGCCACTCCCAAATAACCACAAAGAGGCTTAATATTAATTATAAATGCTCAGCCAATAGCTTAGGCTTGTTTTCAGCCAGCTCTTATAACTTAAATTAACCCATTTCTATTAATCTATGTGTTGCCATGTGGCTCATGACTTGCTACCTCAACTTGAACACATCCTGCTCCCTCTGCATCTGGCTGGCACTCCTCTGACATGGCCCTTCTTCTTCCCAGAATTCTCTCTGCCCCGAAAATTCAATCAGCTTTTTATTAATAATGAGAGAAATGCATATTCACAATGTGCAAAGATTGGTCTGCACCACTTCTCTGTCACTTCTGAGGTACCTAAGACCAGTGACTGATGATGTCACTTATACAGACCGAGCACAGAGAGCAGAAGGGTGAAGCCAGTGTGTACAAAGGAAGTCAGGTGTGGAGGTGGATTGTCCACAGGATGCTGGCTGTCAAAGTATCTTCTCCTCTCACCAAAGAATATCTGTGGGTCCTTTTCAGTGTACACTCTACACATTCACCCTGCCAGTAGATGGCTGTGAGGCAAGAATGGAAGGGTCACCAAAGGCACCTAAGGCGATACTAAGGAACAAAGATGGGACACACTGGGGACAGAAAAGGACATGAGAGACAGCAAAGAAATACAGAAGCCAATCAGGACACAGTGCACAGCAGACACAGAGAGACACGGGGTCATGGAAAGATCCAAAGGGACATGGAGAACAGGGATATGACAAGACGCTGGAGTACATTTCAAAGTATCTGCCTCCTGAGTGTCTTAAGGTCCCCTTGCTGGGGTAGACACTGCTGGGTGAAAGTCCTCCTTCTTATGCAGACTCGTCTTTCCAATCTGCTCTCAGAAATGGAATCCCACCCTAGGAAACGATAATGACAAGGCCTGACAGGAAGTCACTGCTACTGTTTGCCAGGTGGGGAGAAAACGGTGACTGCATTCGGACAATGAGATTTCTGAAATTTCCCAGTTTGCTAAACAAATGTAACTAATCATCTGGCTGTGTAAATTCAACCATTTTTATCTTTACAGTAAAGAACAGTTGTCATAAGATTAAAATTATTAGGAGCAATAAAAGGTTCACACTCACACGTGACTTTGTACAGGTTAGAAACTTCTAGGACTGAAAAATGCTATCGATCTGGAGTCCCAAATTATTTACACTTAAAAAATGAAAAAAAAATCAAATGACTATAGAGTTTCCCTGTCACTCTAGACACCTAGGAATCACTCCAATATTCAAGAGCAAGGAAGCAGGAAAACAACCCCTTGGGCCCCATCGTACATCTGGTAGAGTGTACGCGAGCCAGCCTTTCCAATTCCTGCATCAGAGCAAAGTGGAAATCACAATGCTTCCTCACAGTGTCATTTGTAAGATAAAGTACATCAAATGCTTTGGAAAGTGGGAATCGCTCTATAAACACAATATCCCGTTCTAAGGCAAAGCAATTTGCTTTTTCCAATGATATCATTGTATGTGGTGTCATGCATAAGCCTGAGCCACTACGAGGGCTGCCTCCCCTCCTTTCACTCATTGAATGACATCTGCCCCTGCAAAACAGGAAATGTTCCAAATCCAGGGCTGAATCAACCTCTGACAAGACAATGGCATTGGGTGCAGTCTTTTTTTTCAAACATTTTATTTTATTTTATTTTATTTTTGCTTTATAAATAATACCATTCAAAATTTCCACCTCCTCCCCTCCTCCCATTTCCCTCCCACTCCCCCACACACCCTCCCTCCTCCCCCTCCAGTCCTAAGAGAGGGCAGGGTACCCTGCCTTGTGGGAAATCCAAGGCCCTACCCACTCCATCCAGGTCTAGGAAGGTGTGCATCCAAACAGACTAGGATCCCAAAAAGCCAGTACATGTAATAGAGACAAATCCCAATGCCATTATCATTGGCTTCTCAGTCAGTCCCCATTGTCAGCCACATTCAGAGAGTCCAGTTTGATTAGCTACCCAGCCTCTAAGGCTCTTTGCACTCACCCCCAATCTACATGAAAAGACTCAACCTCCCACTCAAAATCGAATGGCCCATTGAGGGAGCCTAAATGAACCCAGCTCCATCAACAGCTAGCTCTGGGACTTTAGGCAGGTTGCTTGACGTCTCTGGGACTTAAGTTTTCTTAAGTTTTCTCACTCATAAAAATCAGAGTAATGTAAGGTAGAGTTACAGTGAAGGTTAAATGTGTGTGTGTAATACACTTGGAAAGGGCTTGTTGGTTAGGTTTTTCTGTCTACTTGACATAACTTAGACTCACCCGGAAAGCCTTTTTATACTTTTATTGATTTATTGAAAAGGTAATACAATATAGTTTAATCATAATCTTTTCTCTCCCCCTGATACTTCCCAGATTCATCTTCCTTTATGTTTCTTCATGGTTTTTTTTTCTATCTTTTAAAAAAAAATTAAAAAGCACACACACACAAAGAAGCATAGAGTGTGAACTGTGTTGGCCAAGGATCTTTTTTTTTTTTCTTTTAGTAATTTTATTAAATTATAAAAAGTTTCCAATTACGCCCCTCCTCCCAACGCCCTCCCACTCCCCCCCTCCCTCTCCTCCTCCCTCTTTGTCCCCAAGGGAAGTCAGGGTCTCCTGCCCTGTGGGAAGTCCAAGTTCCTCCCCCCTCACTCCAGGTCCAGGAAGGTGAGCATCCAAACAGACTGGATCCCAAAAATCCAGTATATGCAGAGGAAACCAGTCCCAGTGTCATTGTCAATGGCTTCTCGGAAAGACTGCAGGCCAGCCACATTCAGAAAATCCAGCCACATTCAGAGAATCTGGTTGGATCACATGCTCGTTCAGTCACGGTCCATCTGGCCTTGGTAAACTCTCATTAGATCCGACCCCTTGTATCAGTGGGTGATAGTATCCCTCGCAGTCCTTCGTCATTTTCTTCCTCCTTTTGCTCCTCGTTTGTAACTTGGGGGGCTCAGTTCGGTGCTCCAACGCGGGCCTCCATCTTTATCGTCATCCAACGCCAGGTGAGGGATCTATGGTGATAAGCAAAATATTCATCAGTATGGTCACGGGCCAAGGCCGGTTCAGGCACCCCCTCCTCTGTCCAGAGAACAATCTGGGGATCTCTCCTTGGACCTGGGATCCCATATATAATCAAGTTTCCTGTAAACTCTAATATGACTCCCTTAGTTGAAATATATTCTTCCCTGATCCCACATTCATCCTTCCTCCCTTTCCCCCATCCCGGTCAACTGAGCTTTCTCCATTCCTCCCCTACTCCCTTCTCTCTAACCCTCTCCCCTTCCAACAACCCTCCCACCACCCCCCCCCATGCACCCAAGGTTACCTGGGACTCTTGACTATTTCCTACCTCCTGGCGGATAGGTAAATAATCTTCATCAGGTTCGTCTTCTTATTTAGCTTCTCTAGGATCACGAATAATAGGCTCAAAGACCTTTAATTATGGTTAGAATCCACTTATGAGTGAATACATACCGTGTTCCTCTTTTTGGGTCTGGCTTACCTCACTCAGTAAAGCGTTTTCTATGTCCATCCATTTGCATGCAAAATTCAAGATGTCATTATTTTTTACCGCTGAGTAAAACTCTAATGTGTATATGTTCCACACCTTTTTTAACCATTCTTCTATTGAGGGGCACCTAGGCTGTTTCCAGGTTCTGGCTATTACAAATAGTGCTGCTATGAACATAGTTGAACAAACGCTTTTGTAGTATGTTTGGGCATCTCTAGGGTATATTCCCAAGAGAGGAATTGCTGGGTCCTGAGGGAGGTTGACTCCCAGTTTCCTGAGAAACCGCCACACTGATTTCCAAAGTGTCTGCACAAGTTTGCATTCCCACCAACAATGGATGAGTGTTCCCCTCATTCCACATCCCCTCCAGCATAGGCTATCATTGGTGTTTTTAACTTTAGCTATTCTGACAGGTGTAAGATGGTATCTCAAAGTGGTTTTGATTTGCATTTCCCTGATCGCTAAGGAGGTTGAGCATGACCTTAAGTGTCTTCTGGCCATTCGAATTTCATCTGTTGTGAATTCTCTGTTCAGATCAGTACCCCATTTTTTAATTGGGTTAATTAGAGTTTTAGTGCCTAGTTTCTTGAGTTCTTTGTATATTCTGGAGATCAGACCTTTGTCTGATGAGGGGTTGGTGAAGATCTTCTCCCAGTCCGAAGGCAGCCTTTTTGTCTTACTGACAGTGTCCTTTGCTTTACAGAAGCTTCTCAGTTTCAGGAGATCCCATTTATTCATTGTTTCTCTTATTGACTGTGCTGCTGGGGTCCTACTTAGGAAGAGGGCTCCTGTGCCTATATCTTGTAGACTACTTCCCACTTTCTCTTCTATCAGGTTCAAAGTGGACGGATTAATGTTGATGTCTTTAATCCATTTGGACTTGATTTTTGTGCATGGTGATAGATATGGATCTACTTTCATTTTTTTACAGGTTGACATCTAGTTATGCCAGCACCATTTGTTAAAGATGCTTTCCTTCTTCCATTGTATACCTTTAGCTCCCTTGTCAAAAATTAGGTGCTCATAGGTTTGTGGGTTAATATCCGGGTCTTCTATTCGATTCCAAAGGTCGATTTCTCTGTTCTTATGCCAATACCAAGCTGTTTTCAATACTGTAGCT